CACGAGCTTAATTACAATCGCGGAGCACATATACCGTAGTTTCGTTTTGGCCTCCACATCTAATAGACTAATACAATTTGCATCTAATGTCATGTGCTATTCGACTCATGGTGCATTTTGTTTTTAAGGGAAGTAAAGTGTTGTTATCAATTTTTATAAATATAAGTATTAGAATTTATAAATATCTTGAATTATTAGATAATCAGGAGAAGTTTATATAAATTACCATTTTTTTATATTCTAACATACCACCCCGGTTTTTATATTTTTTATTCATTTTTTTCAAATAAATTACTCACTTAAACATCATACAGTTCCTCATCTTACAAAGAATTAGTTCGTGGAAAAAAAATATTATAGCAATTCACTATGATTTATAAAAAAAGTTACGGTGTTTTCTCCATATATTATAATTATAATTTTTAATTAGCTTGATATTAAAAACTAAAATTTATAAAAATAATTTTAGAAAAAATAAAAAAACATAAATAAAAAAACCAAAAAAAATATTGTAATTATCTACATTGACATGTAAAAAAGGTTACAATACTTTTTCCATATTTTAACTATATTACTAGTCAAGTGGCCTACACTATGCTATAGGCTCACATTTAACTTAAAAAAAAAATATAGGAGTAGAACCTAAGTGCAGGACCTAAGTTTATTTTTAGATCATGCAACTAATAATTTATAAATGAAAGTAAATATAAAATTAAGTGTAATTTGATAAAATCATTATTACAATACATTTGGTAAAATTAATAAATAATATAATATTTTCTTTCAATATTAATTATACTAAAAAATAATATCAACAAAACAAACAATAATTTTTCTACTATTAATACTCTAAAAATTAATTATAATAAAAACTAATATTAAAAAAACTAATAATAATATTTTTAATACTAATACATGTAATTATACATATAATAATAAGTGGTGCTTGAGTTGTCCACTCTTAGGAAGGAACCCAAATGCCATATGTCCCAACGTGGTTTTTTTTATTATAATAACAGTTTTTTAAAATTTATTAATGATGATAATAATATTTATAGTCTTATAAATTTTAATAAAAATAATAATATTTATAATACAAATAATAATATTTTTAGTAGCAATAATATGAATTATTATAAAAACAATATTATTTATAACACCACATATAATAATATTTTAGAAACATATACTATTAATTATACTAAAAAATAATATTAATAGAACAAATAATAATAATTTTGAGATCAATTCTATTACGTAGACCATAAAAAAATTAAGAAATAATATAATAATTTTTTTAATATTAATTATACTAAAAAAATATCAAAAAACAAACAATAATATTTTTATCATAAATACTCTAAACATTAATTATACTAAAAAAATATTTTTAATATAATTATATTAAAAATATAAAAAAACCAAGTGTCATGTGGGGCTTGAACTGCAACCAAGATAAAGGAAAGCAAGCACACCACAACACTTGGTCCCTTCCTGTGGGTGTGGTAATACTTGGTTTGCCGGCGACCAGTGCCTAATGTTATTTTGGGTCTTATCTTGTCAAACTAAAGGCTAGCCTTGGGCCATGCCTGACTGTGCCCACGCTCAAGCACCACCTAGTGCTTGGATTGCAATGCAGAGGAAGCAGGCCAAACATCACGTGGTACTTGAGTTATCCATCATCAAAAAAGAAACCAAGCGCCATGTGTCCCAATATGATTTTTTCCATTGTAGTAGAAATTTATTTATTTATTAATAATAATGATAATATATATAGTCTTATAAATTTTAATTAAAATAATAAAATTTATAATTCAAATAATAATATTTTTAGTAGCAATAATATGAATTATTATAAAAACAATATCATTTACAACACCAAATATAATAATATTTTAGAGACTAATATTTTTAATTATACTAAAAAATAATATTAATAGAATAAATAATAATAGTTTTGAGATCAATACCATTAATTAGACTATAAAATTAAATTAAGAAATAATATAATAATTCTTTTAATATTAATTATACTAAAAAAAATATCAAAAAACAAACAATAATATTTTTACCATGAATACTCTAAACATTAATTATTCCAAAAAAACTATTTTTAATATAACTATACTAAAAATATAGAAGTTCACGCACTACGTGGCGCTTGGACTGCACCCAAGAGAAAGGAAAGCAAGTGCAATACGGCGCTTCGACGCCTTTCTTGTGGTCGTGGTTACCGGCGTCCAGAACTTAATGTTATTTTGGGTCCTACCTTGCCAGATCCTTAGGCCATGCCTAGCAATGCCAATGCCAATGCGCCACCTGGCGCTTGTACTGCAGTATAAAAAAAGCAGGCGAAGTACCACGTGACGCTTTGGTTGTCCATCCTCAGGAGGGATACTAAGGGCCACGTGTCCCAACATTGTTTCTTTCATTGTAATAGCAGTTTCTTAAAATTTTTTTTAATGATGATAATGATATTTATAGTTTTATAAATTTTAATACAAATAATAATATTTTTAACAACAATAATATGAATTATTATAAAAACAATATTATTTATAACACCAAATATAATAATATTTTAGAGACTAATACTATATACTAAAAAATAATATTAATATAACAAATAATAATAGTTTTGAGATCAATACTATTAATTATACTATAAAAATAAATTAAGAAATAATATAATAATTCTTTTAATATTAATTATACTAAAAAATAATATCAACAAAACAAACAATAATATTTTTTCTATGAATACTCTAAACATTAATTATACTAAAAAAATATATTTTTAATATAATTATACTAAAAGCATAGAAAGCCTAGGCACTACGTGGTGCTTAGACTACAACCAAAAGAAAGGAAAGGGGCTTGGACACTTTTCCTGTGGCGTGACAATGCTTAGTCTACCCATGACCAGGACTTAATGCTATTTTGAATCTTGCCTTGCTAAGCCCAAGGCTAGCCTTGGACTATGCCTGGCAATGCCCACGCCAAAGCATCATCTGGTACTTGGACTGTAGCTCAGAGGAATCAAGCCAAGTGCCACGTAGGGCTTGGGTTGTTCGCTCTTGGGAGGGGAATATGTCCTAACATTGTTTTTTATTGTAATAGCAAGTTTTTAAAATTTATTAATGATGATAATAATATTTATATTTTTATAATTTTTAATGAAAATATAAAATTTTTTATAATACAAATAATAATATTTTTAGTATCAATAATATAAATTATTATAAAAATGATATTATTTATAAACCCAAATATAATAATATTTTAGAGATTAATTCTATTAAAAAATAATATTAATAAAACAAATAATAATAGTTTTGAGATCAATATTATTAATTAGACTAAAATAATATTTTTAATATCAATACTATTAATTATACTAAAAAATATAATAAGAAATAATATAATAATTTTTTTAATATTAATTATACTAAAAAAAATCAACAAAACAAACAATAATACTTTTACCATTAATACTCTAAACATTAATTATATTAAAAAAATATTTTTAATATATTTATACTATATATATGGTCAGCTCAAACATCATGTGACGTTTGAACTCCACCCAAAAAAAAAAGAAAGCAAGTGCCACGCGCTTCTTAGATGGCTTGCCTGTGGGTATAGCAGCCAAAGCCTCACGTGCGCTCTTGGTATGCTCCAGTGCTTAAGATTAGGTAGATCAAAGGTTAGGTGGCGATACATTTGACGTCTTGATTTACCCCTAACTCCAAGGTCGGGTAGACCAAGTGCCAGGGATAGCAGTTCCAGAGAACTTGCTTCTAAGCTGATGTTCCTGCCTTTCAGTTCAATCATAATTTTATTAAATATTATAATTTATAGTGAAAATACTCATAATATATCTATAATATAATACAGTGTAATTTATAGTGAATTTTATTACTGTGAATAGTATTACGCATTACAATGAAATATTAATCAATAGTAAATAGTATTCTGAATTCCAATGAAATAATGATAAGTTTTAGTTATAGGTAATAATAATTGTAATAATATAATACAATCTTAATCTTAACGGTACCAACATGAGTCATGCGAATGTGTCATTGCCATAGTGGACAAAATCCACCGTCAAGATTAATGGAAACATAGGGGCACCAAACTACAAAACAAAATGGAAACATTGCCATCCCATCTTCTTCCAAGGTCACTATCTTCTAAAAGCCAACACCATTGCGGCGGGACCCAAGCCAGGTAGTCTCTCTCTCCCCCTCTGCTCACTTCATTGTATCCATGCTTTGGACCATATTCGCGATTTATCAATTTTTGTTCATTAAATGATTCATTTCCTATTGACGAGTTCCAATTCCTTCTTCTAGGAATTATTAAGGGTTTCAATTGATTCAACAATTAGATGATATTGGGATTAGGACCCAAAAGAAACTTGGGGATTTATTACTTGGACCATAATGCTTTCACCTGATGGTGTTTTCTCAGGTAGTAATGTAGAAGTTTATGGTTAGATATGAAAATAAAAGGGGGTAGAGCTCACTGGTTTAAACTTTGTGTGGAGGCCCAGGCATGTTCACAGGTATAGGGATAATTCACACTCACGAATTGCTATTTGAATGTTTATCATGTCATCAGACCTTGGACTTGTCCCCCTCCAATCTGAACTAGAGATCACATCACATACCCATCCATGTTTGATTCAATGATAATCCTTGTTATGGGACGTCACCATTACTTAATTTGAATATATGTCAGTGCCATCAATATTTTTTTGTTGAACTATAACTAAGAATTTGAGTCAGAAATTAACAAATGATGTTTCATTTGGAGCATGTAGCAATAGCTTTGTGCTGTCCAAATATACGAATCAATTATATTGAATGTGATGGTTAATATTTCTCTGTCCTGCGTGCATGACTGCACAAGCATAATATATAGGAGTATAATTTCTTAACAGCCTAGCAGCTTTCTTCCATTTGAGGTAATTAAGTCTTTGGCTAGCCAGGTAGCATTTGAAGTAGGTTTCAGTGGCGATGGACTCAAAAAAAGCAATTTCTTCTTCAAAGGGGCTGTTGCAGAGTGAAGAATTGTATCAGGTATATGATCTCCTAGTTTTGTGTGTTTATTGTCTTTTTTGTTTCCACCACGAATGCACTGTTCATTCTTATCCTTTATATATGCCATGGTCAAGTTCTAGCTCTAGCTTACCTTAAATTTTTTGCAACAGTATATCCTAGAGACCAGCGTGTATCCGCGTGAACTAGAGCCTCTCAGAGAGCTAAGGATGCTTACTGCTACCCACCCAAGGTAACCACAAAATCATTCAACTTGTTCACCAGAAGTAATTTGCCTTTTACTCTCATAGGTTTTTGATGACACTAAATTTGAAGATTAATGAGCTTCTTGTTATTTCCAGGGCCATGATGGCTACTGCACCAGATGCTGGTCAGTTGATGGCAATGCTCTTGAAGCTAGTAAATGCACAAAAAACAATTGAAGTGGGAGTTTTCACTGGGTACTCCCTTCTCCTCACTGCTCTTTCAATTCCTAAGGATGGAAAGGTAAGAAGTTCTTTATTAAAAGTAATCTAACCATAACCGACCAAAGGTTATGTATATACTGCTTTTTGTATTTTAAAGGCTTAATTTCCTCGTAATATTGTAGTATATTGTTTATATCTTTGCTATGAACAGTCAATAATTGATTATCCTTGCTGCAGATTACAGCCATAGATGTGAATCGTGAGGCTTACGAAATAGGATTACCAATTATAAGAAATGCTGGTGTTGAACACAAAATTAACTTCATAGAATCAGAAGCTCAACCGATTCTTGACAAGCTATTAGAACATGTAAGGACTCAAGTCCTTGAGAGATTTTAACATGATTTAATTTTTATTCTTGCTTTTGAAACCTATACAACAGTCCTTATACAATTTAAGTGAAGAATAATAGAGTACGTGTTCATTTCATTGGGAGGAAAAACACCAGGCAAACTGAATCTTAGGGGTTTAAAATATTTGTTGCCCGAATTTTATCCATCTTTTCTATCCTCTACCATTCATTCAATTAATATCAGATTCATTTTGGTAGTAAGTTTTTTGTTTTTGAAATTTGTTGCAGCATGGAAATGAAGGCAGTTTTGATTTTGCTTTTGTTGATGCTGACAAAGTCAATTACTGGAACTACCACGAGAGGCTAATGAAATTGTTAAAGGTGGGGGGAATAGCTGTCTATGACAACACATTATGGGGAGGGACAGCTGCTTTGCCAGAAAAGTCTACTCCAGAGAATATGAAAGCAGGCAGGCAACTTACAATTGAATTTAACAAATTGCTTGCAGCTGACTCCCGCGTCCAAATCTCACATGCTTCATTGGGTGATGGGATCACAATTTGCAGGCGAATCTACTGAATATCTGCCTGATACTCGCTTTTGCTCCTGTGCGAATGCAAGGAGTGAAAGCTTAATAAGAGTCATTTTACTCCTTGATCAAAAGATATAATATCGTGAATGAAATTCTGACTACCATTTTCTGGTTGGTTCAGCTGAAATGCCTTGAAAGTATTTGTTGATGTGGTGTAAGATGTTTTTTTTTTAATTTTTAATTAAAAATGTATTACAATTAATTTTTTATATTAGTATTTTAAAACTATTGAAAAACATTTAAAAAATATTTATTTGATGTTCTTTAAAATAAAAAGTTATTTGAAAAATATTTTTAAAAATAAAAGCGCCTTTTATGGAGTATTTTTTCAGTAGTATTTGTTTCAACAAATAATAATAATAATATTAACTTAGCATTTTAATAAATTATTTTAGATGTTGATTTAACTTTTTAGCTCAAGAGTTAAAAGAAGGAAGCAAGTATTATTGCCCACCATTCTATCTCTCAGGGTTCTCCTATCATAAATGAACTGAAAAAACAAAGTGTAAGTCGTGGTCTCCTTGCAACAAGTCTCTCATCATACAACGAAGAAATAGAAAAACATGTTATAGACTTGTCACGAGCCCTTCTATGCAAAGAAAATATTTGACATGCTATCAAGCTTTCCAAGGGCCTCGTGTAAAAAATTGAAAATAATTGCTTCGACTGTTTTCAACTTTTTAAACCCATAGGAATCCACTAGGCTATGATAAGAATTTTGCTTGCAATGATTTAGTGATTGTATATAGAATAAAAAGAATAATTACATTAATACAAATATAGTTTTAAAATTCAACCCGGCCTAACAGGTTGATATGGGATCTTGTTGATCCGGAGTTGGAATCGGACCGGGTTAAAAAAAAACAAGGGAAGGAAAAACCTAGTGTGACCCAGCAGGTTAAAAACTTAGTTGTAACCCTTTAATTTTTGTTTTTTTTTTTTATATAAAAACAACATCGTTTTATTTTTTTTTAAATTGACCCGGTCAAAACCTAGAACTCGAGCTTTGGACTGGATCGGGTTTAAAAACTATGAACACAACACTTTTTTCTAAAATTATAAATATACTAAACTAGTGAGGAATGATGTTTAGTTCATAATAATAGTATTCACAATATCAAAATTTATTCAAGAAAAATCTAGAGCACATATAATTTTAAATTTATAAAGATGCAAAAGCATAACTCAAGTAAAATATGCTTTCAACATAGAAAAAAATAAAAAATACTAACATGCATACTAAATACATATATTTAAACTTACAATTGATATAAAATAAAAAATCTAGAAACCCAAAACCCGGATCTTGGACTGGACCGAGTTTAAAAACTATGAACACAACACTTTTTTTTTAAATTATAAATATACTAAACTAGTGAGGAATGATGTTTAGTTCATAATAATAGTATTCACAATATCAAAATTTATTCAAGAAAAATCTAGAGCGCATCTAATTTTAAATTTATAAAGATGCAAAAGCATAACTCAAGTAAAATATGCTTTCAACATAGAAAAAAACAAAAAATACTAACATGCATACTAAATATATATATTTAAACTTACAATTGATATAAAATAAAAAACCTAGAATACATACTAATAATAAAAATAACTATGTTTAAATTAAAACAAAAAAAGATATTTACTTGTTGAAGTACTTTAAAGTAATGAAACTTTTATTGTTGTTAATGATGAATCTTTTGCCTTTAAAACTATATTGCTCATGACTTATGCAATTAGGATATTTGCAATATGCTTTTTGAGATTTCAACAACACTATTTTAGTTTAGATATACTCCTAAATAAGGTTTTTAAACCAAAGTGAAATAACTCAATTATCTTTTAACAAAATAAACTCAAGCTTTAGATTTAGAAGGAAACCAAAACATAAAAAGAGAAGAAAAAACTAAGATTGAGGTGAGGCTGACTATAAAAAATAAAAAAAGCATTGTTGGAAACTTTTCATTCACTTTTTTTTATAGAGTGGATTTATGAAGCTAGAAAGCTAAATAAATAATTCTAGTAATAATCAAAATTAATTCTCATATAATTAACCTTTGATTAACCATCATAAATAAAAAATCAAATCTGAATATAATAACTATAAATTTGTATTTTTAAGCTGAAAAAAAAATCAAATTTGCAACAAAATCTTATCAAATAAACTATTAATATCAATGAGTTAGAGTAATAAACAATAGTTTAGAAGAAATACTTCTTCATAGACTAGGCCCAAGTCTAAATTTCAATTAAAAAAAAAAATCTTTTTATGGGCCAAGATATTATTTTACAATAAATCCAAACTCAAGCCTAGGCTTGGTCTAGAGCCCAATCATGAGTTAGGCTAGGCTAGCACGTGTACATGTGAGTTTAATCAAAAAGCCCACTTTACTTAGGATCTCTCCCCTCTAAAAGCTTGGGTTTCATTTAAGTTCAATTTTAACTTTTCAACTACCCATTTTATAAATACTATAAAAGTTTTGTTTTTTCTAACGTTAGATAGAGTTTTTTAGATGGTTTTGGGTTTCACTTTACCAAATGTTTTTTGAGATCAATTTCTTATTTATCCATGAGGTTACTTTTATATGGATATGTGCTTAATTAACTGAATGATTATAAAAAGACCTATATATTTGTCATATATAATGATAAAGAACATGATTATGGCATGCGATAAAAAACAAAAGTCATTATTGTATGTTTATGTTTATCCACCATTTTTTAGCATTTTAATATTATGCTAACTGGTGTGAATAGGACATTGTATTCTAAAAATCTAGAGGTATATCATAAAACCCTTACCGAGATGAAATTTATATTAAATAAGAAATGTGTTTGAGTCATTACAGACCAAGTGAGAGCTCATGCCTAGAAAGAGCATAACGAGGAAGAAAAACCACATGTTAGTGGTGATAATGAGTTTGCTGACACGTTTAAGACACCACCTACAACTTCTTTTTCTAAAAATGTTAGTACTAGTTATAGATATCTAGGATGAAAAATCACATAATCCATATTGAGATGGATATGAGCCATCTTTAAGACTCTCAAACACACATCATAGCAAATTAAAAGCATATGACCGACAACTTACAAGATATCAAGACCATGATAGCAAATCTACTTTCTTGATATCCACCACCTTAGAAGATTGTACCAAAAACATTTTTTCATTTTCATGATTTTTTCTTTTTGTATTTTTTTTCCCTAATTGTAATGCATATTACATTTTAAAACATTATGACATGTTTTTATATTCATCTTTTTTTTATGTTTTTCTTTTACTTTTCATTGATGATACATGGGGATACAATTGGAAAAAATAGAGGATAGATATAAAATAATTTATATTAATTATATCATTAAGGGGTAAATTTATATGTACAGATTGTTGATAATTGTTAAAGTCTTCAAAGGGTACTATATTGTAAAATATAGGGGGCATTCTTTTTTTTTTTTGGTTATATCTATACTTATTAAATACTATATTGTAAAATATAGGGGGCATTTTTTTTTGGTTATATCTATACTTATTAATTATTTATCATCATAAAAAAAAGGGAGATTGTTGACCTTTCAGTCATATATTAATATTTATATATTTTAATAATAATAATTAAATAAAAATGGACTAATGGTATGTTTGGTTGAGAATAAATTTAAACAAGTTTTATATGAAGATCACATCAACAAGCATGAAAAATTAAATGAAGAAACTAATCAACAAGTCTAAGATGCAAAGCAAATTAAGACTTAGTTCTTAAGGATTCATATTAATGAAAATTATGTAAATTTATATATTATACTTGATAGCATAAATTAAAATGTTACACACTTCACATTGTATATATTATAAGATTAATATGTATTTAGTCAATTCAAAATTCATCTGGCGTAAAACTACTAAAACTAGATTTTAAGTTAAACCAGTCGACCGCTTGTTCATTAAGAATGAACACCTAAAAATCTATAGGAATCGATTGACCAATTGACTTGATCAGTCTAAACTAGTCAACTGTTTCATTTATCAGAGGAATAGTAACGACTATAAAACGACTAGTTTTTGATAGAAACACACACACACACACACACACAGATATATATATATATATATATATATATATATATATATATGCATGCATGGGGTAAATTTATATATATGGCTTGTTTAATTATAGAATTAAATATTGAATTTGAATATAATCATATTTAAATATTTTAAGAGCAAAAACAACTTCAAATCATCAATCATGAATCATACACGTATTTGTGCATTAAAACCTTCATATTCTTGTATAAGAGCATAAATTCTTATACTCACTATACTTAAACACTTTCATACATTCTAAATGCTATTAATTGAGCTATAAAGATATAAGCTTCAATTATGTTTTCTATTTTTAGAGAGAGTGTTGTTACATTTTAAACAATTATAATCCTTGAAGAGTTTAAGTGAAAAACTCTTGGTCATCGTTGAAGTATATTACCAAGGTGAAAATTTTTGAAGAGAATATTTCTTCAAGTGATGAAAAAAAGCTAGATAGGGATTTATCAAAAGCATTATAATCTTTGACTTGGAATAGTAAAGAATATAATACTCAAGATCAATTTAGTAGTTGAGGTGTAGATGTAGGCTTGCTGAACTACATTAAAAATCGAGTTTGTAATTTCTATCTCTATACTCTTTACTTTAAGCATTTTCATTATATTGTTAGTTAATTGTATTTAATTTAATTAATTGCTATATTTATTATTATTAGTGAAATATCTAATTCATCGCCCTTAGGTGCTATTGTTTTCTTAATCCCAAAACAACAAGCATCCCCTACTTATACTTGTCATCTCCAACTTATTAAATTTGTTATATTCTATTTTTAGGTGTATTGGTTAACCATTTTTATCTTGTCATGCTCTATTGCTTGGAGGATTAAGAGTCTTCTAGTTGCATTCATTTGGAAAGGTTCATCCATTTCTTATTTCGGGATTAAGGTAGCTTGAGATTTTGTTTCTTACTTTTTAAAGGAAAATGGTTTAAGGATAAAAAGGGTCAGACATGGAATAAAGCAATTATTCTTAAACATGTCTAGTGACTCCTATCAAATAAATCTTCTATTTGGATAGTTTGAGTGCTTAATGC